GGACCAGCCACGTAGACAAATGTTTTCGCAAGAGAGGCGAAAGTCGAATTTTTCCAAAACATTACGACGTTGGACTTATTCCTTCCCAATTGCCCGGTTTTAAGTGTAAACATTTTGGCCGAGGGCAGTGGAGGGCATGACCCCATTAGCCCTCTTTTTTTACTACATCCCTGACTCAGACTATGAGAGATCTGGTACTGCCAGTCACAACCCTGATAATGGAAGAAATCAACTGTTTTGACCAGACGTCGTATTGCGAGCAGCATGTTTGCCACGCAAAGACAATCAATTTTACTGACCCAGCTGCCGAGGCCTGACACAGGTCTTCAGTGTCATATCTAACCTAGCTGCCGAGGTCTGACACAGATCTTTAGTGCTATATCTAACCTAGCTGCCGAGGTCTGACACAGATCTTCAGTGCCATATCTAATCTAGCTGCCGAGACCTGACACGGGCCTTCAGTGTCATATCTAACCTAGCTGCCGAGACCTGACACAAGTCTTCAGTGTCATATCTAACCTAGCTGCCGAGGTCTGACACAGATCTTCAGTGCCATATGTAATCTAGCTGCCGAGACCTGACAAAGGTCTTCAGTGTCATATCTAACCTAGCTGCCGAGACCTGACACGGGTCTTCAGTGTCATATCTAACCTAGCTGCCGAGACCTGACAAAGGTCTTCAGTGTCATATCTAACCTAGCTGCCGAGGTCTGACACAGATCTACAGGACGCTTTGAACACGGCAAACCATGGCTTCTGCAGGATGCGAGTAACCTATCCCGAAAAGGCGCGGACGCTCACACGACTAAGGGTGGGCATCCGTCCGGGTTTCTGTGCCGCCTGTACACAGGGTGTCCTAAGCATAGGGTCAGGCTCGGATGTGTTAAGGTGATTTCCGAAAAGTGTTGAATGTTTGTGCTTTACCCACGAATATTAATGAGGCACGATGAGGTTGTGCTTTCCATTAAAAACAAGGCAATGCGTAAACAGCACAATGGCGCACTTCCGGATGCAAGCCAGGTTTTTTTTTAGTGCGGGGCGGGGGGGCAGAGCTTTGAGTGACGATTCACCACGCTGGTTTTTATCCTTCTGTTGGGAACTATCTACATCTACGGAGTTAAAAGAGCGCCGGCTTAAGGGGGGGGGGGGGGGGAAGGGGCGCCATCCATCGTTGGCTGCACCTCTGGCGGCACCACGCAGCCTAAACTAAATAAAAGCAGTGTTTAGCAGACTGGTGAGGTGGCAATGATTCAGCTCAGCGTTTGTCTTCATCTCATCCCACGTCTCCGCGTCACGTCAAGCCTAGAATTGGTGCATAACTTGTGTGCAATACACATCCCTTCTCCGAGAGGGGCGGCCCTGATGTGAAAATGTGGAAGGAGGATACAGCACATGACCTCAGTCAATGGTGCCTGAAATGCTGCTGATTCCAGCAAAACCAGCAACCACGATCACTAATTTTAGTCATCTTTAATAATATTAATCGTCACACTATCTTTTAATATGCTAAACGCAAACGGTCTTAAGTCACTGCGGACGGTGAGGCATTCAGGATCTTTCCTAGAAACGGCCAAATCGAGTTGCTTTCAAACGAGAGGCTCCTCTCTAGGGGCCCTGTTTCGTGACTGAAAGGACCTTTTTAGGCTTGAGATACTATTTGGAGGCCTCGGGACCGTTTGTATGCATTAAAAGCCTTTTGGGCGTTTCAACTGCAAGGGCATACTACGACCGACAGCTCCAGTGGGCCCAGTCATCCCAGGGGGCGAAGGGGGCACGGCTCCGAAGCTTCGCTTGCTTACGCCACAGATTTTAAGGTGGCCGTGTCAAGCACTACCGGCTGGTCGCAGCGCCAAATAGCAGAGTCATACTGGGCATGATTGTACGAGGCACGCGTTCAACACTCGGAAACAGTTGCGAGGGTACGCAGGTCCGGTGGCTACTGACACCACCCGTACATGCCATCTGTTTTATGAGGGAGATGGAGAGATAGACATTGGTGGGATTTCCTTCCTAAGATCTACTGACCCTACTTTTCTGCGCATCATGTATTTTGATTACACTAGAGGCACTTGGGGTGGACTTTCCGGTTGCCCTACAGTAGTCTTTCTGCAACTCCATGAGGATTCCAATGATTTTTTTATATTCCGAACAATGGTTCAGCAGCAGAGGTTGTTTTGTAAAACTGCCGGATCATGCAATAGTGGCCAAAAATGGCATGGAACACATGCTTTGGAAAGCCAGCAGTCGGCAATTAAAGCCCGATTTGCAAGTGAACAAAGGCATACATCAGCGTCATTTTTATCACGACGCTGAATGTGTTGCTGGGCCACCACGCTGGCCTCTGAAATTCGGGATATGTAGAGCCTTTGCGGAACTGCCGCTGAACCTGAACCGTTAGCGTGAGCCCAGAGAATTGGACCGGGTGTCAGCCAGGCGCTGCGTGCGCTGACATGACATGCGTCAATGTCATCGGAGAAACGCCAGTGTCAGGCCACGGGCTCTCGTTGCCACGGAGACCGGCACATAGGTTAGGTGCGATCAATAAAGCGGTATAGATGAAGAAACTTCCGTGTAAAGACACGGGTTATTCAGAGAGTTCGTTCAGAAGCCTGTACATTCACAACGTGGGCACAGTGAGTGGCGAAGTAGCCAGCTTCAGCGAACCGCCCGGGTCGTTGGATGGCAGAAGCGATTCGCCCCGTCTATACCGAAGGAGTGCTGCAGGGTAAAGGTTATATTTATTTACCAAAGATGGAGGGTTTCCGACCTACCTATCGATTCCGTCACCCCTGGCACTAGTGGGATGAAATTTGGAACATTGCACAGACGTTTGAAATGCATATTTACAACCGAGCGAGGATTCATCAAGTATTGTCTTCAACAGCCAATCAGATACATTCAAATGTTATCAAAAGCCATTCACGCTTTTCACCTAATCATGGTCATTGCCAACCAGTCAGATATCTGTCATGGACTGCCAGATCGGCCTTGTTTCGAGGGCTGACAGCTCGGACAGGCAGGAGCCAGCTGACTGCGTCACGACCTCACTCAGTAGCGTGCTGCTGGCCGACATGGAGCCACGGTATGGGCGGCCTCGCGGTTTACAGGCACAGCGTCGGCACTTTGCGTGAGGACGGATGTCACAGCATGACAATCGTTTGGGGGAAATTGGACAAGCGATTGACAACAACGGTCCTATCAGCGACATAACCAGCACACGCCCAGGGCGGAACAAGGTCCCAGAGATGGTCTCCTCCAGGTGGGGGGTCTCTAATGACGTCAAGCTGGCCGCCCAGGGCGCAGGAGCGCGCGCGTCCTTGGTAGCTGACGATAGCAGCCAAACACGGCCCTCTGGTCCAGCGGCTCCGAGGTTCGCCGCTGGATCTACACCGCTGGAGTCCTGACGGTGTGGTAAACCACCAGCTTCGCCCTGACGTCCGGGGTGTCTGATCATCCCCACCCTCGCCCAGCTTCGGTGCGTGTGAATTATCTTGACTGTCGCCCGGCTTCTATTTGTGTGAATTATCCCGGCTGTCGCCTGGCTTCGGTGCGTGGAACTACCCCGACTGTCGCCCGGCTTCTGTTTGTGTGAACTACCCCGACTGTTGCCCGGCTTCGGTGCGTGTGAACTACCCCGACTGTCGCCCGGCTTCTGTTTGTGTGACTACCCCGACTGTCGCCCGGCTTCGGTGCGTGTGAACTACCCCGACTGTCGCCCGGCTTCGGTCGTGTGAACTACTACCCGACTGTCGCCGGCTTCTGTTTGTGTGAACTACCCCGACTGTCGCCCGGCTTCGGGTGCGTGTGAACTACCCCGACTGTCGCCCGGGCTTCGGTGCGTGTGAACTAACCCACGGTTGCCCAGCTTCGGTGCGTGTGAACTACCCCGACTGTCGCCCGGCTTCTATTGTTTGTGTGAATTATCCCGGCCGTCGCCTGGCTTCGGTGTTGTGAACTACCCCGACTGTCGCCCGGCTTCTATTGTGTGAATTATCCCGGCTGTCGCCTGCTTCGGTGTGTGTTTGAACTACCCCGACTGTCGCACGGCTTCGGTTTGTGTGAATTATCCCCACTACTGCGAGGCGCCGGGTCTGTCTGAATTATCCCCAGTGTAGCCTGGCGCCGTGGCGAGTGAAATTATCATTATTCTCACCCAGCGTCGGATCCGTGTAAATTATCACCTATCGCCCGCGCGCCGGCTTGGCCGAGTTACCCTCGGTGGCGTCGGGCGCCGGCTCCATCTGAACATTCCCCAGTGTCGTCCAGCGGCGGGCCCGAATCCGCCATCTCAGAGCTGTACCTCAGAGCCTCAGAGCCGCGACGTCTGACTCAGAGGCGCGCTGTTTGTTTTGCCGTTCTGCGCAGTTTGCGTTGCTGCACTGGTCTGAGCTGGGCTCGGTGAACTGCTCGCTTGAGTTGCCCCGGGAACCTAGCCTGCGAGAAAAGTGTGCGCCTCTGTGCACCGCTGCCCGGCGCGGGCATTGGAAACTTCTGATTTGGAAACTTCTGATTTGGAAACTTCTGATTTGGAAACTTCTGATTTGGGCAGGCCCCAGGGCACCGAGCCCCGCCCACGCAAACATGGAGACGTCACAGGGCGGCAAGAAGCATCGAACACGAGTATTGCCCTTTCGAACATCGAAACACTCAGGCGTGGTAAGAGGCCTCGAACACTAAGGCTTGCCTATGCGAACAGCGAGACACCCTAGCGTAGCAAAAAACATCGAATACTGAGGCTCGTTTAGGTGAGCACTGCGACCTAGTGGCGTAGGTACGGTGTATGACCTTGAAGACTCAAGCCTCACATCCCTACCCCTTCCCCCACCTCGGCTCCCCGTCGAGCTCTTGGCTGACCCGCATCGGCGGCACATTCAGGATTTTCTTGCCATCTATGATGAAGCGCCCGAATTTTTCGGTCCGACCTGCGGCCCCGCCGCTTCCCTCCCGCGTTCCTGCTTGACTGCGCCCCTGCTGAGCCGCCTGCTGTGTTTGCCCCCGCAGAAGGACCTGGTGAGCCTGCAGCAGGAGCTGTTCATGCAGGACATGATGGCGCGGCGCGCGCCCAAGCTGCACGGCGAGCTGTCGCACCAGGAGCGCGCCACGGTCGAGCAGCAGGTGCAGCTCTACCTGGACGGCCAGCTCGACAACATCCAGATCGTCAGCGTCAAGCAGATCGAGGTGCGGGACGCGCGTGGTACGCCTGACTCCGCACGCCGATGGCTTTGTTTGTCCCCTTGATGACCCCCACCATGACTTCCGGGACATCAACTGATATAGCACCAGGCATATGTAATGCAATGAATCGATACCGTCCCATCGCATGTGGCCTGGGTAACACCGTAAATGGGCGCAGGCGCGTCCACCGTCGGTATGTCCTCAGTTACGTTTGGCGGACCATGGAAGGTCTTATGGAAATGTCTTGACATGCACTATAGATAGGCGTTGTTTAAGTGCGCCCGTCCATGCACTGCTGTCATGAACGCCGCCGTAACAACCGCTTCACTGTGAACACGCATGGAAGGAGCTCATGGTGACTGGTCAACTTACCGGGTTTGTTTTAATGCATTCCGAATACGTGAAATTAATAGTCCCAAAATGTCTTGCAAGTCCGCCAAGGATTGACATCTCTCATTGTCATGTATAATGCAGCGTCAGTGTCAAGCGTAACTCAGTGTCAGTGTCATGAGAAACTTAGCATCGGTATCGCGTGTCACGAGTTACTGAGTATCAGTATCGTGTGGCACTCAGTGTCAGTGTCATGCGTAGCTCAGTGCTACTGCCGTGTCCAATTTATCGCCAATGTCATGTGTCACTGACATTGCCAGAGATGCGTGGCCCCTATTGGCAGTGTCTGTATTATTTGCACTGGTTGTCGGTTTTGTAACGAAACCTGTGTTAGAATGTCTTGCAAAAAAGCCCACAAGAAGTTCAATATCAGTATCGAGTGTAAATCAGTGTCAATAGCACGTGAAGTTCAGTGGCACTGCCATGCGTACGTCGATGTCAGTGATGGGGCATCACATCTCACGATCCCTCCAGATATCTAGCACAGCGTCCGCTCCATGCGTGACCGCTCAACGATGTATCGTAATGTTAACACCGTGCGCAAATGTCAGCCTCAGGTGTCTGTGTCACTGTGTCAGTCGTGCAGCCCAGTGTCAGAGTAACTCTGAGCACGGTGCGGTTATGATATCACCTTGCATCAGTGGCGTCACATGTGCTTCTCAGCATTATTAATTTGTTTAACTTGGTAGGAGTGCAGTAGGGCAGAGTTGTAACTTAATGCCAGTGGCATGTGCAGATGTGTGTGGATGTTGCGGGTAGCACTGTCATCGCCTTGCACAGCTGAGTGTCAGTGTCACGGGTAACACTGACATTGCCTCGCACAGCTGAGTGTCAGTGTCACGGGTAACACTGTCATTGCCTTGCACAGCTGAGTAGTGTCACAGTGTACTGCCATTGCCTTGCACAGCTGAGTGTCAGTGTCACGGGAAACACTGCCATTGCCTTGCACAGCTGAGTGTCAGTGTCACGAGTAACACTGCCATTGCCTTGCACAGCTGAGTGTCAGTGTCACGGGTAACACTGCCATTGCCTTACACAGCTGAGTGTCAGTGTCACGAGTCACACTGCCATTGCCTTGCACAGCTGAGTGTCAGTGTCACGGGTAACACTGCCATTGCCTTACACAGCTGAGTGTCAGTGTCACGGGCAACACTGCCATTGCCTTGCACAACTGAGTGTCAGTGTTACGGGTAACACTGGCATTGCCTTTCGCAGCTGAGTGTCAGTATCACGGGTAACTCTGCCGTTGCTCCGCACGTCGCAGGCGGTGCTGGAATCGGTGAAGACTGTCCAGCTCCAGCGGGAGGGCGCGTTGCGGGCCGAGGTGACCGCCGACATGCAGCAGCAGATGCAGCAGCAGATGCAGCAGCTGCAGCAGCAGCTGGCCGCCGGGCAGCAGCCGGCGGCGTCCACCGACCACCGGCCGAGCCTGCCGTCTCACGGCCGGGAGCGCGGCAGCAAGCGCAAGACCAGCCGCGGCCGCGTCAACCGGGAGCCGGCCGACGACGACCGCACGACGACCGGCGAGCGCAGCCGACGTGACGAGCGGCAGGTGTCGGCTGGCGCCGCCGGCGCGGATCAGAGCGGGCCCGGCTTCGGCGCCGGCGTGGCTGACGGGCGGCCGGCCGCCGCTGCCGTGGCCATGTCGGTGCGCGCGCGCGGCCGCGGCGGCGGCGCGGCGCGCCCGACTCCCTCGGAGCGGCCGGCCTCGCCGCCGGCCAGCCTGCCGGACGAGCCGGCCGAGGAGACGCCGGTGCCGCTGCCGACCGAGGCGACCGCCGCCGGCAGTCAGGAGGCGCTGCGCCAGCTGCCGAACGGCGCCCAGCTGCAGGCCGAACTGGACCAGTGGCAGCGCACCATTGCTGAGCGCCACCAACAGTACGCGACGCTTGCGCGCCAGCTGCGTGGGCAGCGCTGCCAGCAGGGTGGCCTGCTGACCGACCTCCAGCTGCTGCAGGCGGAGCGGCACGTGCAGGGCGAGCATTACGACGCCGACGACAACGTGGTGCTGAGCACCGACGAGCGCCAGCTGCAGCACCGGCTGCGCGACCTGGCCGGCCAGCTGGCCGACAGCCAGGACCGTCTGCTGACGCTGCGTCGCGAGCTGGTGGACGCGCAGCGCCAGCAGGCCGAGAAGAAGGCAGAGCTGGCCACCGCGCTTGCCGACTTCCGGCTGCGTAGCAATGTGGTGCCGGAGGAGCCAATAGCAGCGGCGGCGCGCGTCTCCAGCGCTACCGGCGCGTCGGCGGCCGTGCAGGTGCCGCCGCCGGCGGAGCGCGGCTCGCCCGGTGTCTACTACAGCGCGCAGCGGCGCGCGCGCGCCCAGCTGCGTCGCACGCGGTGCCCCAAGTAGGCGCTCTCCGCCTGTCAGGGGACTTCTCCGCACGTGGCACGCTCAGCTGTCTCCGCCGAGGGCTTCTGGATAACTTGTTCGTTGTGCCACATAGCATTGGGCGTGTATCGTATAGTCCTCCACATGGTCCTTTCTATCGCTTTGCGGCAGCTGTTCCACAGCGGTCTACAACGTAGGCTCGGTGCGAAATGCCTTTGGGGCTGGACGCCAGGCTGCTTGGCCTTAGCCGTCCGTTCGTAAATTGCCGGGCGTGGTCCCCGAGCTCGCCGGCGCCCTCTGCTGTAGAGTTCCAGGTCTGTCGCCACGTCATCGCCTTCCTCTGCTCCCGCCCCTCATGTTCGCCCGCTGCGTGAGCCAACTCAATCACGGGTATAATTGCCAGCCCATGCAAATTGAGCTATCGAATCAATCAAGATTTCATGCTAATGTGAATTAATACGCGTGGCCTTCGCCGTACGTCATCAGTCTTTGTTCTCCATCGTTAATTCGGCCTGGTCGTGCGCTTGATTTCCCGGCTCTATGGCGGCCATATTTGAATAATACACCATAATGTCGGACAGCCATTTCTAGCAATTAATGCCACCAAAGTACTGAGTAGCGGTGCAGAGGGCCGGGCCGTATTTTCGGCGGCACCCGTTATGATCAGGGTGCTGTCGCGAGCCCCGCTCGTTAGCCAGGCCTCCGATGACGGACGAGCGTCGGGCCAATCGCCGTTCTTCACACCTTGTTATTAGCACACGCCGTATTTACTCTCCAATCGGAGCGCACGGCCGTCTCTCATTATCAGCTGGTTTTCCCTCAAATCTGCAAAAGGCTCTTTGGAAGTGGGGTCACGTCCAACTGGCGTCTCAAGCGCGATACTCGTGCCCCGGCTGATGGAGGGAGCCTGGCTCCCCTCCAGACTGCAGACGGGAGCCTGCTCCGCGTGCCGGCTCCGCTCGGAGCCCTGACCTGGGAGGACACGCGATGAACGCTGTAAACCTACCGGGATTAGCATGACGGGTCGGAGCCGGTATGCCCGGGAGCGGCTGGCGCCCGGTTTTTGTTTGCCGCCGACCGCGCCATGCGGGCTGCACCTGCGGTCGAAAACGGGTTCTGGTGGCGGTTCGACGGGCCGGCTGCGACCTGGTTCCACGCGACCTGGCCTGACATGACCTGAGGCCGTGGCGCCCACGGAGGGGACCGCCCGCTGAGCGCGTGTGCGTCGGTGGCGTCTCCATCGGGCCCGTGGGCTCGGCAACAGCGGCTCGGAAGGCCACGCACCGCACCGAGCTCAGCGGCGATAAAAACTCGCCCCGAGCGGCGACCGACACCGCCCAACGAGCCGCCTATTGAAATATGCCCAGTGTTAATGGCTTGTAACGAGGTGTTTGCTGTACACCTGTGGGGCAAATGGTTCAGCCCCTCTACAAGGCTTCATTGTGTTCCCGATTACAAAGACGACGTCTGGAACGGTGTTTACTGGCCAGAAACGCTGTCCCGAACAAACCCGGCCCGACTACAAATCCTTTTTATGCACTGTTAAGGGCGTATTAATTGGATTTGGGGTACAAAAGAAATTATGAGGGACGCATAAGTAATTACCATCGGTGATCCTTTGATGATGAAGGCCCATTGTGTCAGTTAAGTTTATGGTCTCGAGGGAGAAAATTAGCAGTTGAGGCAGATCCATCTGGATCTATCTATCTGGCCCGGGGTGCCGTCAGCCCTACACCATTCTATTCAAATAGGAGGAGCGGTTAACCGGCGCGCAGACCGCTTATCAGCCAAACAGGCGGCGGGCACGGCTGACAGAAACGGCCCTTTGGCGGGGCTCTGTGGCGGGCACGGCTCTCTGGCGGGGTCTGTGGTGGGCACGGCTCTCTGGCGGGGGGGGGGGGGCTCTCTGGCGGGGCTCTCTTGCGGGGCCCTCTGGCGGGACTCTCTGGCGGGCACGGCTCTCTGACGGGGCTCTCTGGCGGGCACGGCTCTCTGGCGGAAACGGCTCTCCATCCGTCCGCCCGTCCGCAGGTGCAGTCCGCAGCCGTGGCAAGCTCCACATCGCTGCGTTCACCATACACACGACACACGCGTCGGGGCGAGGACGGCGTGTTGTGACAATTGGTCGTTTAAAACTACCTGCCAATCACGAGAAGACCCAGCACTCGGCAACTGATTCGCGGCGTACGCAGGCTGCTGCACTCTCTCGTTGTTCCGCGGCTGTGCGTGGCTGGCTCGAGGCTGAGAAAGTTCTTGCCTTGAACTTCGCCCGCCACCCGACGTTTTTTCCTGCTTTTGACTTTGAACGTCGTCAGTCTGGTGCAAGTTGCGTGTCTGGCGTTCGAAGGAATTCGGACATGCGAGCCATCGTGCGTGCGTCGGACTGCCCGGCTGTTGTTCCGCGTTATCCTGTTGTGCTTGTACTGCGGCACTGACGTCCGATGTAATGACGACATCAGTTCAGACATCTGCCGTCAGCCCATCAGATACGCGGGGATGAGGAAAAACAACGGCCTCGATTACAGCAAACCACCCGCACGAAAACACCCGGTTCATTAGAACGCTGGCGGCAGCTGGACCGCGCGGCCGCGGCGGTCCTGCTGCAGCTCCGGTCATCACGCTGCGCTCCGGCGGACGGGGTCCGGTCGGGTCCGGGCCAGACCGCGACCGAGCTGTCCCGCCGTCCGCCGCGCCGCCAGCTGACTGACTCGCCCAGGAATGTCGTGTTAACACTGGTCCGGTATTTCAACGGCGTCCACCTGGCCGGCGTGATCGGTTATAAATTAATGGCCGTAACCCTTCTGGCGGGCAGCGGCGGGACGTGGGACCGGCCCGCCGCCGATCGGAATGGCAGACAAGCGCCGGCGTCCGGCGGAGCGGCGGCCAGCCGGCGGTGATACGGCCTCTGGTCAGGGACAGCCCCGCACCGGGCACATCTACAGGGACGGTTCAGCTTACCGTGCAACGACGGGGCCGGTCCTGCACTGGATACAGCTACAGAGATGGCTCAACTCTTGGTGCAACGACAGGGGCGGTTCTGCACTGGATACATTTACAGGGACGGTTCAACTCACAGTGCAACATCAGGGAGGGTTCCGCGCTGGATACCGCTCCAGACATAGTTCAAATTCCGGTGCAGCATCGGGCACGGTACTGTACTGGATGCAGCTTCAAGGACGGTTCAACTCAAAGAATCACGGCAGGGTCGGTCTTGCACTGAGGACAGATCACCTGACAGGGCCAGTTCCACTCTGGGTCCAGCAGATTAGGAAACAGCCAGGAACAGGAACATGAACAACTCACCTGTGAGCTCAGCAGCGGGATTAGTTCACCTGTGAGCTCAGCAGGAGGAACAGCTCACCTGTGAGCTCAACGGGAGGAGCAGCTCATCTGTGAGCTCAGCAGCAGAAGAAGCTCACCTGTGAGCTCAGCAGCTGGAGCAGCTCACCTGTGAGCTCAGCAGCAGGAGCAGTTCACCTGTGAGCTCTGCAGCAGGAGCAGTTTATCGTTTGGTGCAGTACCATGGATGTCGGAAACAGCAGCGGCGTTTCATGGTCTTCCATGGGTACAAGGTCGCAATGTACTTAGTGCAAGGTACGCAGGTCTTCCATGGGTGCAGCAGCACAGGTATTTCGGTTTCGGGCGCATCCGCAGGGTCCCAAGAATGGCATGTGGAATAGACAGGACGACAGCATGTGGAAGAGCACAACAGCAAGGCCAGGTCCGCTTTTGGTACAACATCAGTGAGTGAGTGAATCAACGTAAATAGTAAGAGTCTAGCTCTGCGCACGGCGACAAAGACGGGGCTGCTCTGCGTATAGCACCAGTGAATGGGTGAACCATAGTAACAGTCTGGCTCCGCGTATAGCGGCAAAGACAGGGCTGCTCTGCGTATAGCACCAATGAATGGGTGAACCATAGTAACAGTCTGGCTCCGCGTATAGCGGCGGAGGCAGGACTGCTCTGCGTATGGTAGCATGACCGATATCCCGCTGGGTGCAGCAGCAGGGACAGTTCTGCTACGGGCGCGGGCGGTGCCACCGGATGGTACGCCAGGGCGAACCATCCCCAACAATCACGACATCTAAATCACTCCTCTGGTGTTGCATGGCAAAAATGAGCTCGCAATGCCCCATCCCCCAACCCGCCAGTCTCGTGCGCGACACCCTTGGTCCTCGGTAGTCAGCCTCCCTGACCGTGGTAGATAGATGGTAGCAGCCATTCGTGATATCGGGATCTATTAGTCGGGATCTTATATATATATATATATATATATATATATATATATATATATATATATATATATCGGGATCTCTTAGTCTTCACATCGCATTTCTTCAACCGCTCACTTTTCCAAAAGACGTCGGATGTTTGGTTGCATGCGCATTATAATATTTGTCATGCGAGGTAGTCGTTAAAGCTCCCACAACCCCCTCAGAAAATGCCACATCGTACGACACTGTATTGTCAGTTTTCTGTCAGGGTTCATCGACACACACACAGACGTACACTCCCACACAGACAATCACACACACACATAGCATCAGGACAAATCGCTGGAGGGTGGCGGGAACTACGAGCCAACCGCCAATATATATGCATGACACAACCAGTATATGAATACTACATATGCACACGGGTGGCGCCGCGGTAGGTGACTGTACGGGGTCCTAACACGAGCTCATGGTGGACGCCCAACGTGATACGATGCGGACGACCTTCGCAAATCAATATTAGACTGGTTTACAGATGCAGCAACGTGTCACACTACTCAGGAACAACGTAACGCACAGGTGTCGGAGCAAATAAACTATACGCTGAGCTGGCTGGGCCAGGTGGTCACATCCGACATGGACTCTCTGAACGGTGCGAATAAATTCAGTGTTTGTCTCTCCAGCACCCTACGCTTGTTCTCACCAAGCGATGCGCCGACCCTCGACAACATAGGTCAAGGTCAGTGTGGGCATAGGCAGAGCCCGGCCCAACCATCGTTCGTCGATGACAGTTATTGGAACAGCCGTGGATAAACCAATCAATCAAAATTCAGAGCGTTGGCGCGAAAAGCCGGCGGCACAAGACACGCTTCAGTTCTAGAAGTCTGCGAGCGCGGCTGTTCCATCGACTCAGACATTTAAACGCAAGCCTGCCCTGTGGAGATGCCCATGACCTCAGCGCATGACGAGGCTCAGGCTTGGTCCTGCAACCTGTTTGCATAGGTCTCCAGACGACGAACGAGCACGGCGTTGATACACCATCCCGCCTTTGTTTTCAGACCCGGCTTGAAAGGGGGACGTTTCACGCCACGCTGGCCCGATATTGACCCCGTATGACCCAGAGACAAGGTGACGCTCCGAATCAAACGGCTTCTGGCGTTGAAATGATCGGACCTGCCATACATTTCTGCAATGACATTGTTCCCAGAGGGAATAGAGCATTATCGTGCCACAGGCGGCTGTTCAGCCCCAGCAGACCCGAAACACCTGAAATATTGCCCCTTTTGCACTTGGTCTTAGGACGTAACGCTATGAATGAAAGGCATTGTACGGGTTTCTTTCCTGAAATGGAATGTACATCTTTGAGTTAATTTAGCTGCAAATGCGCATTTCATTGTCAGAGGCATACCACTGCTTATAAAATCCGCTGTCTTGGTAATTACTAGCGTTGGAACTTATATTGTTTTTAATACCTGTGGAAGGACAGAACGTTTAATCAAGGGTGTTGTATAATAGTACAGCACGATGCACTTCAACTCATTATCAATTTTGAGTATCTGCGTATTCCATTTAACCAGCGGTCTAATGGTATGATAAAAGCCGGCATATCTTAAAATGGATAGCAAGGAAAAATTGGTTTTACACGTTAAAGCTATAGCTGAGTTATTTATGTTAACATGCTAGAGACGGACAGCATGGTATCATGTGATCCTGAAGAAGGCTTGTGGTGGCATCACCGTACATCCTGGAACGCCATCTGGCGCTGATGACGTCATGTCTAGAGAAATGTCGTTACAACCGCTATCTTGATCTTGTTCCTTATGAAACTCTATTTTTTATGGAAAAACGTTGTTTTCCCTTAAAACTTATAAGAGATGCAGCTTGGGCCACCCCTGTATGCTGTTCATTTCCGACATTTATAAGGTCAAAACTTTGGAGGTCAAAACTTTGCAGAATTATTGCAGTGTTAAGACAGATTGGTGAGAGGGAAGGCATGCACTGAATGAAAAGGATGTGCTGCTTTCCAGTCGTCAAACTCTAAAATCACTTTTAGGTACGCTACTCGCCTTTAAAGCAGCTTGAAATGACAGACAGTGAAGAAATTGCTAGCACGCCGTCCCATGCAGCACACATGTGACCTGTCTCATGGGGGGGGGGATCAAAAACATCTGAAAGGATGCATGTTCAACGGAGCACACAATGTACGCTAAAAGCTATAAGCTGGCTTTGTTGGCAGAATAAAAAGGCGTCCGATCAACAGCGCAGAAGCCAGGTGCAGCACCCGGCAGGCATTGGATGAACACCTGATAATCACGTAATGGTCTGATGGGGACGTGTGGCGGAAACGGTTCCACTGACCCATAACGTGCTCAGGATCACGGCCCTGAAAACACGTGAGGATGACCTAGCCAAAAAAGTGCCGCGATCCATGTTAAACGGGGGCGGGAGGCGGAGTTTGTGCACACAAACAACAGCATGACCGTAAATTGCTACAACTTTAATTTTAACTGACCTCAACTTAGTGGCGACACTGTCCACACTCGTCACATCCAGAACCCGTTCGAGAAGCCATCCGGCTGGGTCGCAGGATTTAACAATGCAGGGTTTAACAATGATTCGTACCAATGGTTTGTACGAACACCCACCCAACCCCACGGGTACCTGAAGCTGGCATGGGGCCGAAAGCCCTTGTTTTTCCTCGTAGTCATTGGGCCATTAAGCTGATTCGTATAACTTTATAATAAAAGACTGCAGACGCACGACTTCAGGGTTTTCACTTGAAGAGGTGTGACACTGTGCCGTCATGAGGCTGACAGATAATTTTTTTAAGTTTAGACCGTATGCTGTTTTATGTGGTCTTGAAATTCCGATAACTAAAAGAGGATAGGTCTTTGAGCTATACCTGTCTTTGGCTCAAAAGTTGTTTCATCCCTGCGTAAACTGGCGCGCAATGTCACCGCACACAACATGATGAAAGCCAAAAGACCAGGTGTGAATAATAACAGAGGCCCAGTGTGATGCCCCGTCCGAGGCGTTACAGCATAAGTGCTAGAAAACCTGTCTGCCATTGAGGACCGCGAATTATGAGACCCTCCGCACACTGTAGGCGCGGCCACGCATCGCCAGGCGGTTACGGCAGGGACAACCACCGGACTCGGCCGACGGCATCGCCACGTGTGGCAGGGACATTGGACGTCACATCGGGCCGTGACACTGACAGGCGTCTGACATGGTGTCGAGCCGTGACACTGACAGACCTCTGACGCCGTGTCGGACCGTGACGCTGATGACAGGCGTCTGACGTGGTATCGGACCATGACACTGACAGACGTCTGACGCCGCGTCGGACCGTGACGCTGACAGGCGCCTGACGTCGTGTTGGAGCTTGACGCTGACGGGCGTCTGACGTCGTGATGGAGCTTGACGCTGACGGGCGTCTGACGTCGTGATGGAGCTTGACGCTGATGACAGGCGTCTGACGTCGTGTTGGAGCTTGACGCTGACGGGCGTCTGACGTCGTGTTGGAGCTTGACGCTGACAGGTGCCTGACGTCGTGTTGGAGCTTGACACTAACAGGCGTCTGACGTCGTGTTGGAGCTTGACGCTGATGACAGGCGTCTGACATGATGTCGGACCATGACACTGACAGACGTCCGACGTCGCGCCGGACCGCGACACTAACAGGTGCCTGACGTCGTGTCGGACCGTGACGCTGGCAGGCGTCTGACGTGGTGTCGGACCATGACACTGACAGACGTCTGACGCTGTGTCGGACCGTGACGCTGACAGGCGCCTGACGTCGTGTCGGAGCTTGACGCTGACAGGCGCCTGACGTGGTGTCGGAACGTGACGCTGACAGGCGCCTGACGTGGTGTCGGACCGTGACGCTGACAGGCGTCTGACGTCGTGTCGGACCGTGACGCTGACAGACGTCTGCTCGCTTCTCCACCAGTGACGTTGGTGCTGACATCGGGCTGGTACGTCACACGATAACGTCATACATGCCCCTATCGATGACAGCGCTGCGCAGGTTACGCCGCCTCAGTCGGTGTCGTCGCATAGGCCCCAGCTGAAGACACCGGCTCGGGTGGTGTCGCTGGCCCAGTTGGCGGCGTCAGACATGCTTCAGGTGGCAACGTTTACACGGTCTGTGATATGCTTCCGCTGATGATGCTCGTGAGGATGGCGTCTGGTATGCCTCAGCTGGCGACAGCGGCAGAAAAGCCGGCTGAGTCACTGACATCATCCTTCCTTAGCTGACGACAGTGGCGCTTCGGTGACGTCGGTGGGTATTCGCCATCCCGTACCGCTGCTTCACCTGATGACGCCAGATATTCCTCAGTTGATGACGTCAACTCAGTTGGTGACGTCGATGCCGACGCTGGCATTGTCCTCCGAGTCGGACCCGGAGCCGGCAAGCGGCTGCTCGGCCTCCTTGCCGGCCTCGTCGGCGGCGCCGCCCTCGCCGTCCGTCGTCGACCGTTTGTGCTTGGTGCGCCGGTTTTGGAACCACACCTTCACCTGCGGGGGACAGAGGCGTTCAGTTGTGCAGCGAGGTCGTCGCTGCGCTGGAGCGCTGCTGGCAATCGATGTGTATTGGCGATTTCTTAACATGTCTAAGACGCTGGACTTTAAAAAGCGTGTCGAGCACATCATGATTTATAACGCATTTGGCCTGCACAGCGTGTGACGACCTCGATGGCCTCGGGTGGGGACCGCGGACCGCGATAGCCTAGGGCAGGGACCGAGAAACTCGATGGCCTAGGGCAGGGACCAGGGACCTCGATGGCCTAGGGCAGGGACCGAGAACCTCGATGGCCTAGGGCAGGGACCGGGGACCTCGATGGCCTAGGGCAAGGATCGGGGACCTGGCCACAGACGGCGGGACAGCCCAAAGCCAACAGCATGTTGTGTAGAATGGTATGTGGATGCATGTGTTGGCCATGTTGGGGAGGTTAGTACTCGAAACGGTTTGGTATTTTCAGTTCAGAAACGTTTCCCGGTTTGGTGTTCATCAGAAATGCCGAAGTCGAAGAACGCAAATTAAATGATCCAAAAAACAGACTGCAAGACCTTGAACGTGCTCGGAATGAATGCTGTTGTGTCCATTCTCTAACTTTGACCTATCCTGAGTGTGTAGGTGGACAAGGGCTTGGAGCTTTCAACATGGACCACTCACTCCCTTCTCCTTCAGTCAGTGGTACATGCTCGCCTGATCCATGTAATGTTAACGCGAACGCATCTACCACAGCCTTGTCCGTAAAAACTTGGCTGAAAATGAAGATCAGGTTGAACAAGGAGTAAATAAGGTAGTACAGCCCTATCGATCAAAGTATGCCCAAGTGAGGAAACCCTTACATCAGGAATGTTTCAAAAACTTGGCGCATCTTTAAGGTAAACTGTCCTCACATGGCTGGTTTGGAACGTAACCAAGGTTTGCAATTGAGCGCAACGCGACATAAAGCGTTGCTGTCGTCAGATGCGTAAATAATGGGCCGTTTCATCACCCCATGGGTGAAATCCTTTACATTGCATGACTTTGCAAATGTTTAACAACATAGCTGGGATCAGCCCGGATATAGGAAATCTCTCTAGCAGATGTTACACAAGTTGCAGCAGCTTATGGTCGGGCTAATTGTGAAACATAAACTCAAGGCAAGGCAAGACTTATAGTAAACGCATGAGACAGCCCATTTAGCTCGTGCAGATAGCTAAAAATAATATTTACTACTCGTGAAACAATCGTGTCCGTAGCAGTGTTGTTGCTGGTCTAACTCAGAAATCACCTACACGAAACGCAGCTTTCTGACCTGCTAAACTTATCTACTGGACCTGTCCTAAGCAAAGGAGGTATTTGCCGGGTTGAGGGTCTCAATGCCCGGTATCCATCTCATGGTAAATGCTGGCAAAATATGACCCCGTTCCACTGTTTTCCAAGCGCGATTATTTCCAAGACATTCTTATAATTGTTTGCTGTAATTGGAAAAGCAGTACCATGAATCCTGCAAATTGGCCACGCTTAGCAACAGGTGCAGGGCGCCACGCTAAGCAGGGAGCCGCACCTGGAGCGTCTTTGCGGTGCCGCACCTGGGGCAATTAGTCCGGTAAACGGGATAATTGCGGCACGCCGGGCTTTCGCAGGTTAAGACCAAGGCTGGCCAGAGCCGGCGAGACGCGCCGAAGTTCTGGAAAATGCCGCCTTTCTGGACGATTCGACGCCTACTCGTGCAACGCAGCAACAGATCCATTGCGTTTGGCTCTAGAACATTCTACTCAAGATTATGGTCATGCATTTGGAAGCACTCTAGCTTAAGTGAGCTGTCTCTCGGGCTGCCTGGGCTGGTTGTAGCTGTACCGTATCGCATCACAAGCACAAGCAGAGGAATATATCATGATTCCCTTGCATGCTGTACGTTTCTAACGAGTTTAAATGACGTTGATACCGTTCATGCTACGGCAAAAGCAAAAATACGGACCTGGTAATCACCGCTCAGCATTGTTTGCGTGATGACTGTGAGCTATAAAGGCAAACCGAATCACGTGGTCGGGCCATAAAACCACGCCCACGTCTTGCCATCACGGACAATGAATCGCTAGCATTTGCGGGGTGTCGTGCAAGGTGTCCAAGATCAGACAAAGCTGGCGTGGACACGAGCCGAACAGAGATCGGTCGTTGCTATACGGACGTCGGTCATGCCTGTCGCATGCAAAAACCGCTTGCGCCGGCCCTACCACCGACACTCAGATACCACTTTTCGCTGCACGAGACGCGCGACGGCCCACCGGCCGGGCTGCGACGCAGGCGGAGCGGCCGCGCCACCGCACCGCACCGCAGCCACCGTTCGCAACCGGTGACAAAAAGACGCCAGCCGTATTTGCATGATTGCAACTGCCGACCGGTAATGTGATTGCACGGCTACGGACTGCAGTGGGGGTGGGGCTATTGTGTCGCGGTGTTGGCGGCGCGCAGGCTCGCATTAATCATACACATTCTGCTGTAGCTCAACTAATGACCGCCTGCACAATGCGGGCTCAAATTGATTCGGAGGTCGTGAGTGGCGCGCCGGATATGCAATTACACCCCGACTGCACCGAGCCGCGGCCCCGGCCGGCCAGCAACAACGCACAAGCGCTGAGGCGGCGGCAGGCTCCCCTACATCCGGGGCACGTGAACAGCTGCTCCACGGACGCGGTGCGCGACGGATGCGCGGGAGACGAGGGTTCACGTCCCAGAATACGGGCTTTTGTGACTCGTTTGTGACGGCCAAATGGCGAGTCCGCGCGAATGAGGCTGAAAAAGATCGTCGAAGCGTTAGATGTCAAGTAAAAATCCTCCGGCAAAGACAGATCGCTGAAATGGCATTGCTTCACTGGGCTGATGGGGTCGTAGTCTTCGCAATCAGCCGCGCTCAGCAGATGATCTGATTCTGAAGCTATCTCGGCAAAATAATCGGTGTAGCATCGGAATCAAAATGTAGGGGATAGCCGCTTCCCCCCAGCAGTCTGACGTCATGCCAATCACATCTGAGGGTCTATGTATTCGACGGCCCGGTTCAGTAGCGCAGCCAACCGAGAGCTTTTGGTGCCACGACTCCGCTGACCTAAAGGTGGTGGAGGCCTCCCCCAACTTTTTTGATTGTCTGAAAGCCCTGAAGGCTTTCTGAAATATAACGGTGACAGCTGAAACATCAAAATAGAATCCCGGGCCTAAAAAGCTCCTCCCAATTCAAAATGGGCCCTCAGAAATACGAAATGGGGACCCCGCTGCTGAAGAGCCCCTTGTGACCTGATTTGGATCCTTCCTGGGTGAAAGCCTGGCTACGCAACTGGCCCGGTCACCGAGCTGAGCCTAAGTCTCCCAACCGGTCGTCATTGACATGTGACGTTATCCAGCCCGGGTTATGAAGTGCTCCAGATGGCGGGCATGTCGATTTGAGTTAGTGTCAGGGAAGATGCTGCCCAGCCAAGTGAGCTAATGGAGGCGCATTACCCTCTACGTCCTTGTTTAAGCACATTGGCTGCGGGCCCATTTAAGATTTACAGACGCGGGCTGGCGGCTCTGAGCTCCCTTTCATGCGTGAAAGCTACACCCATGGTTGACATCGTCCACGTTTCAAGAGGACGGTTAGAGTCAGCCTCCCACCGAGGGGAAGTCTGAGCACTTGGCAGCCAAATTGAGGGTCATATGTAACTCGACCACCGCTAGGGGTCTGCTCATTTGGGGCCGCAGCAGCGTCGGCTGACCTATATCGTGATCAAGTCACTGGTTTGAAAGGCGACGCTGGCATATCATGCGGGCTTAAGTGTAACTAGGCCACGGCATGTCATTAATCTCTAAGAAAGAGAGCTTATCAAAACGCTCGCGGGTGCCGAGCGGCAGTTCAGCTCGCTGTAAGATGCGTCTCCGTCTCGCCCCTGCTCTCCAGCGTAACGTTAAATCCCCCTCACCCCCACCCCCCGCCCTCACCCCCGGTGCACGTGACAGCGGCCGGGGCTGGTAATCGCTTCCCCTCTGACTACGAGTGCCGTCACACCAGAGCCTGCTCGATATCTCCTCGTCACGGGTGACTGGACCTCACTGCAGGCGACGCCTGCCATGACTGCGCTCCCACCGCCGCGCGTGGACCGCCATGGACGGCAGTGGACACTCGTCCACCACCGCAGCGCGTGGACCGCCATGGACGGCGGTGGACACTCGTCCACCACCGCCGCGCGTCGGCTGGCGCAGCTGTTACAGCTGCACGGTGAGATAGCGCAGTCGGGCTAGATCGCTCGCGAGTCGTAACGCGGCAGCTCGGTCGCGAGTCGTAACGCGGCAGCTCGGTCGCGAGTCGTAACGCGGCAGCTCGGGGCCCGGTGCGAAGCATCATGCAGTAACCGATCGTTACGTTTGTTGCATCGAATATTTGGACGTGGACGTAGACCAACATCCAGTTGCTAGTGTATCGGGTTCTTCAATGGTCCAATGTCTCGACATTTTCACGGTCATCAACTGCAAAACATTTCATCGCAAGAAGCGTTTCGGCTAAGCCGGAGCTCTCCAAACATAAAACATATCGACATGAGCCAAACTAAATGACGAGAGGCACATATTCCCAAAACATTTGTACTTAAGCATCATAGAAAGAAACCCGACCCGCACATGTGCCCCACTTACTTTGCGGAAACGAGCCTGGAGTAGCTATCCGGCTAATATATATATATATATATATATATATATATATATATATATATATATATATATATATATAAACCAGTCAGTTCGATGTAAGGAAGGTCAATCACGTGTCAGCTGGGTTGGCGTCCGGTTCTAAGTGAAACCATCGGTAATAACCGGTGTACAGCCAAATTAAAACATCGGGCGAGCGGAGGCGTTTTTCGGCGATTACCGGCACGAAGCGGGGCGATTTTTCGTCGGCTGGACCACGCGTGCTCCAATAGAGCTGTCGGTGCGCCTGCATGCCACCGGCTGGCAGACTGTCCAGCTGGGGCCGAGGGCGTCCGAAGGTCCAGGCGCACCG